CAAGTGCATTAGAAGCTCCGTTGAAAACCATAGTCCATTGGGATCCAGACTCAGGTCCTTCATACGGTCCATGTTCTTCACAATCTGTAACTATCACGATGTTCTCATCCGGGAACTCAAAATTCATAGATTGGTAATCGTCTACAACTTGATGCACCAAATGATTTTCTAACACACTTTCTTTAATTGCCTTCTGAGTGGTTTACTGAATGCCTTATTTTTCTCAGACCATTTGCCATCGGGCTATCCTTTCGAAGAGAGCTGGCTTCTCGAATATGTATTTGATGGGATCTATTTTAGAGATCAACGAGGTAGTATGAGTTAACATATACTGTCTTAGTCGACGAGCAGCCCATGCCAAAGCGCAACAAGTTTTCTCGAGCAGACAATATCTTGTTTCACAATCGGTAAACTTTTTGCTAAGGTAGTATATTGCATGATCTTTTCGACCAGACTCGTCATGCTGCCCCAGTACACACCCTATTGAGTTCTCTAATACTGTTAGGTACATGATTAGAGGTCTTCCTTCAACTGGTGGAATTAGGATTGGAGGTTCTTGTAAGTACTCCTTGATTTTTTCAAAGGCTATCTGACAACCCTCGTTCCATTTCACTACCTGATCTTTCTTCAACAACTTAAAGATTGGCTCACAAGTAGCGGTCAAGTGAGAAATAAATTTGGCAATATAATTCAGTCGTCCCAAGAAACCTTTGGCTTCCTTCTCGGTACAGGGTGCAGGAATTTCTTGAATGGATTTGACCTTGGCAGGATCAACTTCAATACATTTACCATTGACCACGAAACCCAGGAGTTTACCGGATCTCACCCCAAAGGTGCACTTTTTCAGGTTTAACCTTAGCTTGTACTTCTTCAGTCTCTCAAAAAACTTGTGTAGATGGTCCAGATGCTCTTCTTCAGTCTATGATCTGGCTATCATATCATCAACATAGACCTCTATCTCGTGATGGATCATGTCATGAAACAAGGCTACCATATCACGATGATATGTTATGCCACCGTTCTTCAACCCAAAAAACATAACCTTGTAGCAGAAAGTGCCCCACTGTGTAACAAAAGTAGTCTTTTCCATATCTTCAGGTGCCATCTTGATCTGATTATATCCCGAGAAACCATCCATAAAGGAGAACACCTTGTGTTGAGCGGTGTTGTCGACCAAAACATCAATATATGGAAGTGGGAAGTCATCTTTGGGGCTCGCCCTATTCAGATCCATATAGTCTACACATATACTTTCAAACTAGAATCAAGATTATTCAAAATAATCTAAACAATTATTTGTGTTAGTAAGAATAGATTTTGTTATAATATATCACAATAGTTATAAAGTTTGATTGAATTCAGTTTCTAAATTAATTATATTTTTTAACGGTTGTGCAAGAATTTCAATTAATCATAATATATGATGGTTTAGCAGTTGTAGACGGTCTCACTAGGAATTCTTATGAGATTCATCGTTGGTTGATTGATTATTCTTATAATTAAAAAAAGGATTAAAATCATAAAAGAGAACAATTCTTTGAACCAATGATATATCCCATGAACATCGTCATAATCAGCGAATCAATGTTTTAATTTGATTGTTAATTTGATCATAATATCCTTTACAGCGGCGTGAAGTGAACTTGCATGGTTAGCACTCAAACGTCAAAGATTTAAGATGAGTTCAAAATTCAAGATGAGTATAGTAGTTTGTGGAGATCAGATAATTTACTTTTCCCTTAGCGTGTGAAATGATTTTTATACCTTGGGTCAAGTGAAGTAAATTTGAGATGAATTAGATCTTGATCATTTGGGCCTCTAGCCAATACAGAATATGAACTAAGGGGAAAATAAGAGGTTGAAATAGAATTAACTGCAGGTGAATGGTTATCTTTGATTGTTAAAGTAATCCAAAAATGCCATGATATTATTTCTGAATAAAATCAGATGGTGTAGTGGCTAGTGATTGTTGTTTTCATTAATGTATGCTTGAGAATTAAAGACTATTGCAAAATTGGTTTGAGATTGCTGACTATGATTCCTCCATTTACCCTTGTAACTAAAGGATAATCATGCTTGATCCAAAATGTTTCAATAATGTGGTTTACTTTACCATAATATGTCCATATAAAAATTATTTCCTCTAGGGCTTAAATTTTATCCTCTACCCTTACTAGTGGATTTTTTTTCTTTCCATTACATTGTACTGGAAATTATCTAAGAGAGTATTAAAAGAATATAATTTTGGAGGATATGCACAACTAAATCGATCACAAATTTGTTAATTTTTCTTTATTGTTGATTTAACATGAAAAATATGTCCATAAGAGGATTCATCAATATGATTTAAGATTTGGTATGATAAAATTGATCATTCAGGCCTTTTATAAAGTGAATAACATAATTATGGTCACAATAGGTTTTTCTAGACTCAATTGCACCAAAACACATGCAAGTGAACAATTATAACGAGGGAGAGATATATGGTTTTCTAATTTATCCCATAAAACTTTCACTTGAGTAAAGAAATTATAAATGTCAAGATTGCCTTTACGAAACTTATAGAGTTCTTTTCAAATATCAGAGATACATAAGATATCACATATACAAAAAGTGAGTTTATAAGTTCTTCTAATAGTAAACAGTGGTATCGACCCATAGAATAAAGTGTGTTATTGATTCAAAAGTAGAACGATGGATTCACGCAAAAATCTATGTGTTGCAGCAAATCCATTAAGCATGTGAATGATGAAAAATTGAGGGTTTCTAAAGATTTTCATCAATAAACTTGTATTTGTTCTCCAAAATCGATGCAATGTGCATAGATTGCGTCTAAGTGTGATAGTTCTTGTGATCTAGGGAAGGGGAAACAAGAATCAAAGTCGAATTTTCATTTGAATGCAAATAATAGAAATTCACACAATTGATAAAATAATCAAATCAATGTACAAAAGGCTTCATGCACTTATACATATCCTATATAGAAGTGGAATAATTTACTACTTCTAACCGACTATAGAGTTGTATAAGGATGACAATTTGATTCATTGGTATCCACAAGAAATATCCATTATAAATAGCGTAAATACCTATAAAATGCGTATGGAAATAGACGTGAATAATTACCTGATAAAATAAACGTGTTTAGGTGTAGATACGAATATTTTAGTACTCACTATGTCTCATACTAATACACCATATATTTATATATTTTAATTTATATTATTATATAAAAATATATGTAATTCACTTTTTAAAAATACATCAATATTGAACATTTATTCATTTTAATATAATTATTTGTTTATTTCAAAATTCAACAATAAAATTTTTGATTTTTTTATAAATATTATTGAAAATTTAAAATGATATAATATTTTTTAATTAATCTATTTATTTTTAATTATTAAAACTGAGAGTAAAGAATAATGTAACAAATATAGACTCTTAGAAAACCAATATAAATACAAATATAAATGCCCACACAACTATAGACTTGAATGTCTGGATTTTTTCAAACCATAGATATGAAAACTGGCTATAATACCTTTGTCAAATCCTTTCCATTATTATCCTTATTTGACATATACTAATAAACTATAATCGTTAATCTCAACTTCTTTATACATTGATAGTTACCTGTGTTGGATATAAAAATAGGTATGTTGTTGATGTCACCTAAGGTGAAGGTTTTGGACCACACAATCAATTCAAGAAGGATACGATTTTTCTACCAAATAATAAAGTGGTCCAATGACGATAACTGTGGTCCTCTTGTGGTGCAATTTCCCTATCGGATAAAGCTGTCCAATAAATCATCTTTCAAGGTTATATATATAGCCATGGATGTTGATTGGAAAACATAAAATTAGGATCAGGTTTGTACAAGGTCTACCCACAAGGGTACAAAACTCTTTTATGAATAGTAATCTTTTGCATTGCCTTTTCATGATGATCAAAATAATAACTTGACAAGTTAATGAACTAGTAGTTGAGGGAATAAATTCTCTATTGCATATTTGCATATAATATTATATGATAAGGTGGACCACAAGTTCCTTTTGGTTCATGTCTTAATGATCATGAGAGTCTCATTGGACCATTTGCAAAGTTGTGTCCAATTTGTGGACCTTTGGTCTCTAATTTAAAACCAACATCAGTTAAAATCGTTTTTAAGGATGTGTAAAACAAACTAATGTATATAATTTAAATTTCGCAACAGTTAAATTATAATTAAATAAAATCTCATAAATTATTGACCACGACTAAATCGTGATTAAATGTCACTCTATTTATATATTCACAGTTGAATTGTGACTAACACGATAACAAATTTAAGATACACATGCATTAGTGTATTGACCAAGACAATGCAAATTGTATCCAAAGACTTAACACATGATATTTTTTGTCATAATTGCATGAAAAAACAACCAATTCAAGACCCTTGTGATCTTTATAGTGTAGCATAGATTAGCTTATCATGATAGAAAGCAAAAGGACATTCAAAATTGAATATCATAACTTTTGGCTTTTCTTTTCCCTTTCTCTTTCGGCTACTTGCTGGCCTAATGACATCTACATCTTTGTATACAATGCAACCATAACAATCTAGGAAGGACATACACTTGCAAAATCATAAAAAAATCACAAACAAAATTATAATTAATACTATAAAAGAAATATAACTTATTAGTTACATTATAAATTTTTTTTCACTATTACATGAAAAAGATTACTCAAAAGTATAAAAAAATAATAAATAGTAAATGATTGAAATAAATAAGTCAATTTTTAAGAAGAGTAACTAACTAATTTCAATTGAGGGGACAAAGATACATACAAGTAGGATTTGTGGAATGAGTGCATAATGACAATGGACCCATCTATGATCTATGCAAAGAAGTAGTAACTAACTCCTATAAATTTGGTAGTAACTCTTAAAGCAAAACTAACTCACCTTTGTGAGAGAGAGAGGAGACAAAAAGAGAAGAAGAGTAATGGTGGAAAAGAGGAAGAAAGGTGTTTTGGTAGGGAAAAAGGGAGGAACTTGTACTACTCCATCACCTACATGGAGATTTCAAACTCCATCTCAACAAAATAATATTGTTTCAAGTTCAACCATTTCTGCTAGAAAGCTTTGTGCCAATCTCTGGCAAATTCAACATGGTGCCACCACTCTCCGGTCGCGTCTCCTCCGCAAAAACACCTCCTCTAACCAGGTTTAACCTTACCTTATGTCTTGTCTTTTTAATATATGGTCTAAACATGTGTTTTGCATTAATATATGGCCTAAACATGTGTTTATAAGTAGAGACAATCTTCGACTAAACCGATTTTATGAGTTAGGCCCAACCACATTTCTTAATAGTATACAGAATGATGCATATGCTATTTGCTTTAATCAGGTGGCGCCATTTAGCCGTGCAACTTCAGCGCGGCTACTTAATGTGCTAAACAGAATATGGAGTCTTGAAGAGCAACAGGCATCAAATATATCAGTGGTGAAAGCTTTAAAAATGGAACTAGACTGCGCACGAACACGGATGAAGGAGTTAGTACGGGAGAAGCAAGCGAACGCACGGGTAATGGAGAAGTTAATGAAGAAAATGACCATGGAAAAGTTTGTTAGAATGAGTAAAGAACACGATAGAATTAATGCTGCTGTGCAATCGATTCATGAAGAGCTTGAAGATGAGAGAGCGTTGCGAAAGGACTCTGAAAGCTTGCAATGGAAGTTAGCTAGGGAGCTTTCTGAAGTGAAGTTTTCATTCTCTGGTTGTTTGAGAAACCTTGAGCGAGAGAGGAAAGCGCGGATTCTATTGGAGAATTTGTGCGGGGAGTTTGCTAAAGGAATAAAGAGTTATGAACAAGAAATACGCTGTCTTAGGCGCGATTCTGAATATTTTGAAGTTAAAGAGAATAGCGTTGATCGGTTAGTACTTCATATTTCAGAAGCTTGGCTTGATGAGCGCGCGCAAATGAAGTTAGCACAACGTGGAAGTGATCTAATTGAGAGATTTTCGATTGTTGACAAGTTAGGTTTTGATATAGAAACGTTTCTTCATGCAAAACGTTGCGTGGATTTGAGAAAATTCGGTTACTCCTCGCCAAAGGAGCTCAAGGAAATTCCTCCTATGGATTCCCTTCCACTGCAAGATGCTGCAAGTGGACCTCAAAATATGGATCAGGAAGATTCCATTGGTAATGACTGGTTTGAACCGAAAGAGATCATCACCGTTGAAGGACTCAGAAAACTCGGCTCCAGACCGCAAAGAAACAAAGATACTGTGCTCCATCGAGAAAATAAAGGAAAAAAAAGTTCAATTAAGAAAGAGGTTATGTCAAAGGAAATCACTGAGGAGAGGAACATGTCACATAACGATAACAATACGAGTTGCTTGTTGGAGAAGACATCGAGTGAAATGAAAGAAGACAACATAAAACTGTGGAAATCAAAGTTGATTGCTTCAGATTTTGGCGAAACCGGGGCAATTTTTTCAACCAAAATGCCAAAGGGAGTAAAGGAAAACACATTGATGGCAAAACTACTTGAAGCAAGACTAGAGAGACAGAGAAGTAGGTCCAAAGGTGGAAAAAGCACTTCTTGATCAATTAGAAAACACTATGATCTTTCATCAAATTTTAGTAAATCCATCTTGTACACAAGAATCTTTTGCTATTTGTATATTATCAGATTGATAAAGATCAGAGTTGTATCCATTATCCAGTGTTAGACATTCAAAATAGCTACAATCACAAACTTTATTCTTTTCGAAATATAAGGGACAACTTAGGTAACACAATACATAATTCAAAATATCATCAACCACAATGAAGTATGAAAAAATTCATATTTCAAAGCTTTGAAACTTCCACAGGGTGAACTATGACAATATAATTATAGGCATCAAGAGTGAGAAAATCATCAAGTGTTGGTGAAGTGCATTGCCTAGTGAAGATCTTGCAAGCCTCCTTATACTTTCCTTTCTTGAACTTATCTTTTCCAACCTCATTTTCAATCCTAACCATCTCTTCTTCAACAACTCTACCAAAAAGTTCTTTGCTCACTTTCACTCCAAGTCCATCGCCATCAAGTTCGACTCCATACTTAAGCCACTGCCAATTCTGAACCCTACTAATCTCAGCAGTCGCGGCATCTTCCATGAGATTGTGAAGAGGCACGGAGCCTGATCCGGTTAGCCATGCTGCCACATACTGAATTCCAACCCTTGTATTCAACCGTAGACCTTCCATTGTTCGGACTCCTCTAGGTATCTGCAAGAGGTCTTCTTCGGTTAATTTTGCAGCGTCGTCGCGTTTCATTGTTGCTATCTGATTAGGAGAGTTTCCCATGTTTTTGGTAAAAATCTCCATACACGATGGAACTAGACCAGGGTGTGCTGCCCATGTTCCATCATGGCCTGCCTTCACTTCCCTAAGTTTGTCTTTTGTTACCAATTCTAGTGCTGCCTCATTCGCGGCTGGATCGTCTTTAATGGGAATTTGCGCAGCCTGTTGAATACATTGAATTAAGAAACATTATGTGCAAAATCTACACAGATATATGTCTTAAATTTATAAGATTCCTATTTATGTTTGGTTTGTGTGCGGTGTAATTGCACGCTGTCGGCCACATTCGTATCGTCCATATTACATAGTATACATACCATTCCTCCCATGGCGTGTACGCCGCGCCTATGACATGTCCTGATAAGAAGATCTGAGTAGCTCTTCATGAAGTGTTGAGTCATACCAACTTGGACCCGATCGGGTAGCAACCGATCTGGATGACCATTGAAGATCTTAACATAACTGAAAATGTAATCCCAACGCCCACAGTTCAGACCAACAGAATGATCTCTGAGCTCATACAGAATTTCATCCATTTGAAACACTGCAGGAAGTGTTTCAATCAGAACAGTTGCTCTGATGCTTCCTCTCTCAATTCCTACGACATTCTCCGCCTTTTCAAACACTTTGTTCCATATCTTAGCTTCCCTGTCAATCCAATCACAAATAGTTATAAAACCAATTTCTATTTCCAGCCTTGGCTATAAAATCATGAAACTTGTTCAACAAGTAAACCATTTTATCTTTGGTCCTTGGATCATATGCTATTATATTACCTTGAATGCTCCATTTTGGGAAGGTAAAAGAAAGGGCCGAAACCACCACCTTGAGTACGCCGGAAAGTTGAATGATTATGGTAGAAGTATAGACCAAAATCAACAAGACAACCAGTTGCAGGCTCACCATCAATCAGAATATGAGCTTCAGGTAAGTGCCATCCTCTCGGTCGCACAAAAAGCTTTGCTATCTCATCATTCAGCTTGTAAACTTTGTTTCTACCTTTGTCTTGAAAGGTTATGGTCCCAACTACAGCATCCTTCAAGTTCACTTGACCTCTCATAAGATTCTCCCAGTTTGGAGACAGTGCATCCTCAAAATCAGCCTTAGAAAATCAAAACAAAATAAACAAGTATCTCAAAATAGTCAGATAGATCGATCAGATCGAGCCCCAGGAGCCTATTGTTTAGCTTACTTCGGACTCAAGTCACGTTAGACTTTTTAAATATAATAATAGTCCTCAAACTATTTGTCTTCATAAAACATTTTTAATAAAAAACACACGTGCATGCATTATGCATGTTATAGTACTAACCATAAAGACTTTAGCTCCAGAGTTAAGAGCATTGATGATCATTTTTCTCTCAACAGGACCAGTGATCTCAACTTTCCTATCAGAAACAGCTGACGGAACAGGTGCACATATCCATTCTCCTTCTCTTATGCATCTAGTTGCTGGATCAAAACCTGGTAGAGCTCCTTCATTGTATCTTCTCTTTGCTTCTTTTCTGCACTCTAGTGCATATTTTATATGGCTTCTGAACTCACGTTGTAGATCAGCAACAAATTTCAAAGCATCTTTAGTAAGGATTTTCGCAAACTCTGCGTCATATCTTCCAAGAACTTCAACTGCTTCTGGTACATCGTAGTTAGAGTTGGTTTGCTTCTCTTTTGGTCTTGAATGGCCATAGTTTCCGTGGTCCATATTTGCAATAGCACTTCTCTAGCTTATTTGAGTGAAAATGGAATGAGTTGAGGCAAAGGATTGATACAGATATATATAGAAATAGTTGGATGCTACAATACAGCATTTAGATATGGTCGAATCGGTATGGATGATATGAAGAAGATTGATGAGTTTGCGAGAAAAAGAGAATGGAATGAGACAAGAAAATGAGTACAGCATGAAGGATAAAAGGTGGCTATATTGAAATATGTGCCCTCCTTGAGAGGTGTAATTGGTTATATGATAATGTTTTGTGTGGGTGGCATTTGGAATTAAGTAATTTAAAATTTTCATTTTAATTTTAAAAAAGAATTGTTTCTCCCATGTTAAGTGATGGAGAAACACTTAAAAAAAATAAAAATAAAATGCCCTTCAAAATTTAGAAGTGTATTTTCGGATTTATATTTTTTATACTAAAATATGTCTAGAGTCTCATCCTTTTTTTTTAAAAAAATTTTGTCAGGGGATGCATTTATGAGTTTATCCTATATGCACCTCGTGCATTCATAACTGAGACATATTTATTTTGAGATAAATTGATTTGGAGATGCAACTTCGAATCTATCGTAGATAAAATACGGAGATGTATTTTCTTATTCACCCCAAACAATAAATTTTGACTTTATTTTATAGATACAATAATTTAATTGACGATATATTATAGTTATACTATCATATTATATTTTATATAAATTAAATCATACACATATCAAATAATATGAAAATGTTATATATAAATGAATAAATACATAACTCATAATGAAGTCAAAATAAATTACAAACGATAATAGTGTTGTTAATACAAATACTATATAGTATACTATGCTAGACCCGGACCCACCTGTTCCTACAATGCCTCATGTACTTCAGTGCCAACCGTGTCTCATTAACGATGGTATTTACAATGTCCTTCGCCTCAGAGCCTTTCGAAAAGACTTCTTTGTCTATATGTGTCTCCGTAATATCCATGATACGTCAACTTTAGCCAACATATCAACATCATGATATTCCCTAGTTTGTTTCTCCTATAATATCTTCTGATAAATTGGCCTAGCTAGATATCCCGGAGCATCCGATGTCATATAAGGATGTGACACCCTGAAATACCATTGGATATAGTTGTGTATAGTGCTCCAATTTCTAAGAGCTAGGGTACCACATGCTTCATTCGGTACCAGATGGTTAAAGTAATCATCAAACATGACATCAACATCTATGTGTGCCATAGCCGAAGGAGCAGCTCAGAAGGTTCTTTGGGAACAAATTGCATGTAGTCAAACTAACGCATGACGTGGATATATCAGACGTGGCCTGCAAGTCAACCATCCAGAGTAGAAGGATGTGTCGTTCAAGGGACACGTCTGACGATGATTGGTGTATGCTTGGAAGTGTATATCTTTTGCTACCAAGCGGTCAAGATACACTCTGAAGGGCTTTGTTGCTTGATTCCCTCTAAGAGGGGCGAATGCAGAAGCACGTGGCATATCATCAATGTAGGTCGGGACATATGACCAACCAGATATGCATGGGAAATGTTGGATGATCCAAGCCTGAAAATGGTACATATGAATTATTAGTAATGGTGTAGCTCAAGTTATATGAAAATGATACAGAAGCACTAAAAGATGTAAATATATAACCATCAACAATGTGCGGCTAGTTGTCATTTGTTTGGTCTTCTACATACAATCTTCAGCTTACTTAGAGTACAAGTAGACCAAACAAGTGCCCTCCCCCTAATTGTACTCGTGAATTCGCTCCAAGTCACCAAAGTATCTAAGGTAAACTACATACACATAAGTGGCACTTGTCCATAAAAATGGGCGTGCCAACAAAGTACAACGTGTATGCTCTCAATGATTATGCTTTATGCTGCATAACCTACTCATCATAACCAACTGCTTGCTTTTCCACATGCAGCTGTCGTGTATAAAACCTCTATAGGAATCAAAACCTAGCATAAAACCCACAGGTGTCTTCTATCTTTACTGAGCATCAACAGGATCAACTTGCAGATAGATCCCCATCATCTTCACAGCCTCATCTTTAATAATCATGCCATGGTCTAATAGTATTCCCCTGATCAGAAGATGCAACATACATGAGACGTTATTTAATATAATGGACATCTCATCATGTGGATGATGAAAAAATGGCATCTTAGAGTTTCATCTCTCTATAAAAGCGAACAAAATACCATGATTAATATTAATATAATTGGGCTTGCACGAGTCTCGTAACATAAATAGCTTCATCATATTCTGAAACCAATACTCAGTAGGTTGTGGCTGATCCGCAATCTTCCTATCATGGTTGATTCATTTTAAAGCATCATGTTGTTATAGAAAAATAAATCCTTGTCAAAATTTTATTATAACAAATGTGTTTCAAAGAATGAATACAATTGAATTTTACATCTTTGTCCCACACATGCCTAGCAGCATGATCCAGATACATAGGCAACGACGATAATTCGGGCGGGCCTCTTCCAAACCCCTAGGGTGCCTACAGTGCCTCAACATGTATCGATGAGGCTTATGTCGCATCAGGAGGTGCCACTTGCCTTCTACGGGAAGACGGAGGCAGAGATGCATGAACCCCAAAAATTGATGTATCAGCATCAACCGAACTATAATTGATGGGTAGGTGCGATGATCAGGCTCTTTTCCTATAAACTGATGCGTGCTGCACAACTTTTGTGATGATCAGGCTTTTGGTTATAAGCCATAATGCCTATAATTAAACTACACAAGTATTAAACAGGTTAAACATAATGAAATAAAGGCAAACAATGAATACAACCTAAATACAGAAATGCATTTCTGGATTCTGGAAATTAAAATGTTGAAAAAATTCGAAAGTGCATTTTCTTAATGTTCTGCAATTCCAAGAAGAACGAAAATGGAAGGAATGCAATCAAATCCAACATCCAAAAAGATGCATTGAGCATTTAAACTACCTATCAAACACATTGCCTAATTAAATAACATATTTAAACTATCTATCACATAACCTAATGCCCAGTTTCTACAAATGTATAGAGAAATCAAAAAATGTATAGAGAGAATAAAAACTTGTCAAATATGAGTTTAATATTGAGATATTTGATCGATTGGATGTTTATGGTAGAAAATTGTACGTGAGTTGAATGAGTTTGAGAGTTTGTGAGTTGAGAGAGTTTGGGAGTTGAGAGGTTTTAAGATTTTGGAGATTTTATGAGTTGAGAGAGTAAAATAGAAACAAGGAAGGAGAAGCGTATGTCGCGTTTTTGAATAAAAACGCATTCGGAGATCCATCTCTGTAAGTTATACGGAGATGTATTTATGTATTATTTTTTTATGTAACCTTAGGGTCTGACTCAAAAATGAATTTAAATTGGGTGCATCCGAAGATGCATTTCAAGATTCTAAGGATAGTTTTGATTTTTCACTAGAGTGGGGGCAATGCTTAAAGTGGGAAAAGCAATTCCCTTTTAAAAATTGTGTCACTAATAAAAAGAATTATATTTTATTTAAATTATAAATAACATCAAAAACTATTCACCGATGTTGCTTCAATGTTTTTTTTGGTCACGACCACACACCATCTTTATGATGTTGCCTTTGAATCCATTCTCTAGTCCTCTTACTCCTCTTTCACGGGGATTCCATCTCACCTCTCCTGAGCTTTTATTTTTATTAATAAAAACTTTTATATGTGCATGTCTTCAAGAATATCTAAGTTCAAGTTATGTGTATATTTTTATTAAATTCTCTTCTGGTTCTCATCAAGAATTCAATTGTTATGGTTTTATATTCTCTCTATTTGTTTATTATTGGGACAACTTTAACTTTTATTTGTTTTTTTCGACTTCAATTGTTAATGTTAGTCTTCTCTTTTAATTGGTTATCGATATATTAGATATGACTTTTCATCTATTGTTATTTTAATTAATCAATAATCGTATCTTTGCTTTTATTTCTATTAAGCCCAAATATGTTTTTTTTGTAAACGGCTTATTTATTTGTTGTGGTGTTGAATTTTTTTCTTTGTCGATGTTCTTCTTCTTCTAATACAGATTAATGAGTAAACATCTAATATTCTTTGTGGAACGACAATCTAAAAATTGCATGAACCTTATTCAAAATGGTTTAATAAAGATTTATTATGTGGGAGGTAATTGACTCCTTCCTAGAGTGGAGATTGACCTAAGAAGGTTTGAAGCAATGTGTGATATATGGCATAAAGCTCTTGTAATCAAATTATTGGGTAAGAACATTTGTTTCAGACTTATGAAGAATAAATTGACTACAATATGGAAATCATTAGCAATTATGACTTGATGATGTTAATAATGGATTCTACATGGTTAAGTTTCACCATGAGGGTGGCAAGGAGAAATTAATTATAAGAGGTCTTTGGTTGATTTCCGACCACTACTTTTTGGTTTCTAAGTGGAGTTTGAACTTCGTCTCATTGATGGCCAAGATAGAGAAAAGCATGCGGGTGCTTCTTCATGATTTTTTAATATATGATGACTCCTTAGAAGATTTTTCATCTATCATTATTATTCTTTCAAAATATTTCACTGTTGTTGATCCTTTATATTTCTTCTGATGATAAAGAAGACGACTCTTCTAATATTCTTGATTTTATTCCTTCATCTTTCAACATATGGATCTTTTCATTGTGTTTATAAATGATCTCCTTTTTCCTGGATTTTTCTTAAAACTCAAAAGACACGCTTCTATATTTTGAATCAAGGATTAGATCTGATTTCTAACTCCAATTGCGGAATCTAAGATATATGTTAAATACACAACTTTTAACACAACCTCTAAGGATTCTAATGTTTGAGCACCATCTATGAAGATGAAGTTCATGTTCAATTGATGTTTCATATTCCTGAATTTGTTTGTTCATTATCTTTTGTTCAATCTTAGGAAATCTCCATGAATCATCTTAAGATTGTCTCATACTTCCTTGACAGTGTAAAATCA